AATTCCTCTCCTCCATAAAACAAGAACATTGGCAAAAAAAAATATATATATATACACACATGTATATAAAGATATATATAATAAGATATAATATATATCATATATATAAGATAATAGTATAATAAGGTATATATCAAAATCATATATAATAATTTTATACATATATATATATATATATATATATACCAGAATCAAACTTGTCAGAACTCCGGAAATTAACCAAAGGCTTTTGGCAACCAGAGCAGTGTTTGTTGAAGAAAAATGACTGAAAAAAGAGCAAGCATTAAATGCAAATGGATTAAACACTACAATTAAAAGGCAGAGATTGGCAGAATGGATTAAATTTTTAAAAACCTGATCCAACTACATGCTGTGTATAAGAGACACACTTTAGATTTAAAGACACAAATAGGTTGAAAGTAAACAGATGGAAAAGACATGCCATGAAAACAGTAACCAAAGAGAGTTGGGGGACTATACTGATAGTAGACAAAATAGACTTAAAATTGTTATTAGAGAAAAGACAGAAGAGAGAGGAATTGTAGAGACCAAAAAAGGCATTTTACAATGATAAAAGGTCCATCCATCAAGAAGATATAACAATGACAAATATATGTGCATCTAATAAAACAGACCCCAAAATAAAGGAGATGAAAACTGTCAGAATTGAAGGGAGAAACAGACAACTCAACCATAATAACTGACGACGTTAACACCCCACTACTAATGGTGACAGCTAATGGTTATAGAGTTTCTTTCTGGGGTGATAAAAATATTCTGGAATTTAGATAGTGGTGATGACTGTACAAGTTTATAAATATACTAAAAACCAGTGAAATGTACATTTTAAAAGAGTTGGTTTTATGGTATATGGAAAAAGAAAGGTTCTACCCCTGCTGCCACTCCCTACCATAAGCACTCAGTTGTGGGGGACAAGGGGTCCTCACTGTTTACCTTAGTTCTATTAGTTACTGTGCCTCATGTCAGCCTCTACCAGAACTGAAGAGGCACATCCTTCCCGTTAAATACATTTCATGGGAATTAAAACAAATTCTGTCCACAGCATAAGGGGCTCAGAATCAGCTAGGCACGGGCAAGGAATCCATGAGTCACGCTGGATCATCATTTCCCAAAGTATGTTCAGAAAACCCTAGTGCCACGGGAAATGAATAGGTTGCAAGAAAAGGGTCCTGTGGTCAAATAAGTTTGGGAAAGACTGGGATAAATAAAGTCAAACTGTTTTCTTTACTGCCAGGACTTCTTGTCTTCAGTGTGCTAGTGTGCACCGTAAAGCTCCAGGTCCAGGGTCTGGTAAGCACCACTTCCCAAGCTTATTTCACCAAGGCACCTTTTTGTTCCTCAGAATATTTCTCAGGACTACTAGGAAAAACTTCCCCAGACAGCACTATGGAGACATCTCAGAACCAGAGAGAGGCCCCAGCTGGAAAGCTACAGAACGGCCAGGTCCCTGTTACTTGAGTGAATTTAGAACACAGCTCCCTCTGCTCAAAAAGAGAAAATGCTCTAGAGGGTGGAGGACAGCACATAAGAAGCTGGAACAGGACATAACCAAAGCCTTAACATCTAAAGCGTTTGCCGGCAGGGACCGTGTCTTGCTCAGCTGTAAGTCCCTAGCACCTAGCATGACATCTGGCAGATAGCTGCATTTGGTATGCTTACGAAATGGCAAAATAAAACTAAGAGAAATTCAAGCCCCAAAGACATTAATGTGCATATGATATCCAACAGCTTTCGGAACTCTGCTTCGAGAAGATATTCAGGCTGAAAAACAGTGGGAATATGATGTCCACCCCGCCATGGCACCCCATCGTGGGTTGTCGAGAGAACTTAGTAAGGGGGTGGGCCCAGGGCAACCAGGTCTTCCCAGTCTCTCTCCCGGATCTCCCGACAGGAGCAGACCTGGCTGGCTGAGCTTGGGGCCTGACCTGAGATGTTCTCGTGTCCTTGTCCTCAGGCTGGGGTCATCACCGAGGGGAAGCTGAAGGAGCTGGCGCCCCCCATGCCTGTGTTGCTCCTCAAGGCCATCTCCGCAGATAAGCAGGATTGCCGCAGTACCTATCCCTGTCCTGTGTACAAGACTTGTCAGCGAGGACCCACCTACGTGTGGACTTTACACCTGAAGACGAAGGAGAAGCCTTCCAAGTGGGTTCTGGCCGGAGTAGCCTTGCTTCTGCAGGTGTAGCTCCTTGCAGACCCACCGAGGAGACAGAGCTGGGCTGGAGGTTGCCCAGAGGGACCAGTGGAGAGGGTGGACCACAGCCCTAGAGAAAGGTGAGAAACCGAAAGCACTCACAGTTCTGAAGAATTCCTTTGGGGAACTCGGAGAGAAGGACCTACAGTGAGGCAGAGTTAGAGGAGTGTGGACCTGGGAACTAGGGGAGAAGAGTCTTGTAACACTGACCCTTTCCTAATAAAGCGATTTGTTCTTCAACTGTGTCTGGTCCAGGCTTTGAGCATTCCAGAGTCGTAAGTTATCATGAAGAGCCCAAGAGAAATGAGCCACAGGCACTTGAGCCCTGACGTCGTTATACAGCCCTACACGCAGCGCCCTAGTTCCCAGCTAGTCCAGGGCCCAGCGGCACCGGCATTGCTGATGAATCAGAGTCTGCATTTTAACAAGCTCCCCAGGTGATTTGTATGCACTTTATGGTTTGAGGAACGTTACTCTGGATCAGGGGGCCACCAAACTTTTTCTGTTAGGGATCAGATAGTAAATATTGTAGGCTTCGCAGGGCATACTGCTTCCGTTGCCACTGCTCACCTCTACCACTGTGACCCCGAAGCAGCCATAGATGATACCTAAAGGAATGGGTGTGGCCACGTTCTAATAAAACCTTACAAAAACAGGCAGTGGGCTAAATTTTGCTGATCACTGCTCTAGAGGATGAGGGAAGTATATATGCAATATTTATCCTTCATTAATCCACACATCCATTCAACAAGTGTTTAACATATACTAGTTGCCGAGGACAAAACTGCAAACAAGGTGGATTGTTTCCTTGTCTTTCCGTCATCCTTCAGATCATTTAAGAGGGGCCCAAGGAGAAATCTTTCACCTAAAGCTTTTTAACCTAAAAGTTTTCTAGATTTTCCTCTGTGGAACACATTTTCACTGGATGCCCAAAGAGGTCTACAGTTTTAATGAGCTGTAGAGAGCTCTATGGGGAGGCTTGTTTGTTAAGTCGTCTGGGGGTGGGGGTCCACCACTCCTTCTAGGATCATTACTTCCACATGTCCTTGGAGAGACTTATTTTTGGATTAATTACTATTTAGTTCAGTGGTTCTTCATTTTGAGCAGGCATCAGAATCCCCTGGAGGACTTGTTAAAACAAAGATTGCTGGCCCCCACCATTCAGAGTTTGATTCAGTAAGTCTAAGAAATTGCCGATGCTCCAAGTCTGGGGACTGCACTTTGAGAACTCCTGATTCAAAACATAAAAACCCACCCTCCTACAAACCTCTGCTATGAGAACACAGAGTCTCATGCCAATTCCACCATGATTTTCCTGCTTTCTGCCTTGTGGTTCCCGCATCCCCAAAAGAAGGGCCTTATTCCTCATCTTCATGCTATAAGAGAGTTAACAAATTCCTCTGGAATCCAGGGATTCCAACCTAAGTGCTGTCTCTCCTCACATCAGCCAGCAATGTACTTCCCATTGTTTGCCAACAACTTGCAGTTTCTTGCCTACAGTTCATCTGTTCCCATGGAGATAGCTCTGTCCTCCTCCTCAGCATCACGCTTCCTGATCCTCACTGGGAACAGTACAGTGAGAGCAGGCAGAGGACGACCAAGATGGAAGGAAAGTGGTGTCGCGGTACGAGAGCAGGACACTCTGGGTCACGTCAGTTTTGGAGACAAGTGGTCAGGTTAGATATATGTGTTAATAAACCTCTAGATACACTATAAATTGGATCAATACTATTGATTTCTTCCTAACACGTACAGACAAAATGAGAGAAGGAAGATAATTTTAGAGGCCAGGACACTTTGGCAAAAATGATGGATGGCCTAAGGGGGATGCCAGGAGAAAGAGGGGCAACTTGAGGCCCCAGAGCAAGTGGGAGGTGGGCATGGAAAGAGGACACCAGAGTGCCCTGCACTGGCCAAGCTCTCACCGGGGCACCAAGCTAGCAAGTTCCCATCACTGTTCTGCTGGCTGGTAAACTTGGTGCGTTTGTACGAGCTGATCTAGGAGCTCAACCACCACTTAGGGTCTGTGAGTTCCAGTCAGTACACAGTGGACGCTGCAGACACAGACAAGACAGGGCGTGACGACCAAGTTTATTGAAAAAAGGGAAGCTTGAGTTAGCTTTGCACCTTTATGACAAAGACCACACTGAGCTAACTGGCCTCTACGCTCCCCCCTCTGGAACAGAAGACCTGCTCTAGGACCACAGTTCTAAAGGGCGGATGTGAGGTTCTTCCCAGCAGCAGCTGCAGCTAATCCAGTTAAAGCCTTCCCAGAGACCACTCCTAAAACGGGACCTCCAAGTGGCACACTTTCCCCAAGGGGTCCAAGAGAAGAGATGAGCTGAAAGGTGAAGACTTTTCTTCCTCCTGATGCAGAAGCAAGAAAGTCAACCTGCGTGAAATCCAATCCCGAGGCCGAGATATCCTCTGCGTCGAAAACCATGTCCCAGTCTCTCCTCTCCAATCCATGAAAAAATGAGAGAACAGGGATATTTTCTAAGAGATGCAATTTCTACGGATGGAGCCAAGTTTGTTTTTTATTTTTTTTAAATAAATTTATTTATTTTTGGCCACGTTGGGTCTTTGTTGCTGCGCGCATGCTTTCTCTAGTTGTGGCGAGCGGGGGCTACTCTGCGTTGCGGTGCGCGGGCTTCTCATTGCGGTGGCTTCTCTTGTTGCGGAGCACGGGCTCTAGGTGCACGGGCTTCAGTAGTTGTGGCACGCGGGCTCTAGAATGCAGGCTCAGTAGTTGTGGCGCACGGGCTTAGTTGCTCCGCGGCATGTGGAATCTTCCCAGACCAGGGCTTGAACCCGTGTCCTCTGCATTGGCAGGCGGATTGTTAACCACTGCGCAAGCAGGGAAGCCCGCCAAGTATTTTTAAATGGACCAGGAGACAGACATGGGCTCAGAGAGCTTGGCTATTGAAAGGGCTTCTTTCCCAAATGGGATCTTTGATGTTTGGCAAGGCTTGAGCTCCAGCTGAAACTTTTCCCACAGCGGGAGCACTTATAGGGTTTCTCTCCTGTGTGAACCCTCTGATGCCTATTAAAGTTGGATCTCTGAATAAAACTCTTCTCACAGATGGGGCACTTATAGGGCTTCTCCCCCGTGTGGATTTTCTCGTGGTGGCGCAGCCCCGAGAAGTCGCTAAAGCCCTTCCCACACGTATCACACTTGCAGGGCTTCTCGCCTGTGTGGATTCGCTGATGCTTCACGAAGTTTGAACTCCGCAGAAAGGCTTTTTTGCAGGTGGGGCACTGAAAGTACGTCTCTCCAGTGTGAGTTCTTTGGTGAAAATCCAGCTGGGAATTCCGGTAGAAGGCTTTCCCACACTCCCTGCAGGTAGGGAGTCTCTGGGCCATGGGGGCTCTCGGCTGCCGTCGCGGGGACGCCTCTCTCTTCCCCTCCAGCCATGGCGTGGACGGCTCTCCGGGAAGAGGTGGCAGATGCTGACCCAGCTGCATCCCAGAATTCCTCTCTCGGGGAGAGGGCTGCGCCCCTGTCCCCTCACCATGAAGGTTCTCCTGGGCCTCGGGGAGATTCTCTCCTTCTCCAAAGCATCTCGGCTCATCCTTGCTGAAGAGGCCACTCAAGGAAGTCTGAGGAGGCTCTCCTGAGGCTTGAGGGTCCTGGTCCCTGTAGTTCTCCAAGTTTAAGTTCTCTTTGTCATTCTCCTGTCTGTCCCCTGAAAGGAGAAAGAAGATATGGAGCAGCTCAATCAGTGGTCTGCCCTGCTTTGCAACTCATGTGTCAGAGAGAGGGTCATCACAAAACATTAATTCTTTTTACCAAGAGGGCATCGGTGAGTGAAGAAAAACACTGTCCAGCCTGAGCACCTGGCACTCACTTCACGTGTGTCCAGGCTGTGACTCAGCTCTGGAACCAAGGAGAAAAAGTGACAGCAGAGGATGGCTCCCAGAGGCCGTAGTGGCCACCCCCACAAAGAAGCAGCAAGTTTCTTAAGCCCAGGAAAAACAAGTCTAGTATATGAGAGTACTATTCTAAAAACGTATTGGTTTTTATCTAATTATATATAAAAGATAAATATGATCACTAAAAACAATTTGAAAAGCATACACAAGAAAACCAAATCAGCCTCAATTATACCACCCAGAGGCAACAACTATGAGTATACATTTCCTTCCAGTCTTTATCTAATTTATACATATGTATGTATGTATGTATGTACATATGTATGTATGTGCTTTTTTCTGACACAACTGATATCATACTGTATAAACAGTTCTATTTCTGGCTTTGTAGCCTTTAAATTGTAGATGGTGGTACTTATCAATTCCACATGGATTCTCCCTTTCACAAGTCACCCCAAAATTCATGAAATGCAACCATGTGTCATTTTACTGTGGTTGTGATGCACAGTGAGACTGCTGTGTAAAAGTGAACCCCTCAGTCTGCGCTTGAATCCAGCATTCACTTGTGCTTCATTATGTCACGTAACAGTTAAATTTTGTTTTTCTCATCATAACTTGGGTTTTTGCTTATTACTACTTAATGATGCATATAGTAAAGATTTTTATTTTAGTGGTAGAATTTATCTTCAACTTTTCTAAATTACTTTATTCCTGTAGATCTAAAGGAGCTGCTTGCCTTTCTCTTTCCTATATCAGTGTCTTTCAAATTATCAGCTAGAGACCGGAATCTGCTAGAGAACCAGACCTGAACTTGGTAATTCAGAGCCTTATAACATGTTCCTCTCAGATGGCAAAGGTACTTTCTCTTTTCTTTAAAGGAGCCTTTATAAATATCATTTTAAAGAGCTGAATAATGGCCCACTATGGAGACGTCATAATAAACACATAAGAGGAAACAGAATTTATTTAAGAGTTATCCTACTATGGGAATTAAGTTGTTTGTTATATTTTGCTACTATAAATAATGATGTGATAAGCCTTTTTCTTCATAAATTCTGCCCACATTTCTGATCAATATCTTAAAGGAGGTTCCTCAAAGTAGAATTACTGTGTCAATGGGCATGAATGGTATTAAGGCTGTTGACACCTACTGGCAAATTGATTCCCGCAACGACTCTGCCATCCTCGGGTCTGAGAGGCTGGGCAGAGAGGAGGCGAGTGTTCAATACCTAAGCACTGACTGTGTCTCAAGTATCTGCCATTAAGCCTGGTGAAAAATGGCTTCTCATTGGTATAAATTTTAATTCTTTAGTTATTAAAGGATCAGTTTTTTCACACTTATGAGTTATTTTTCATACTCCAAGACTGCTGTCCACTTTTTTTTTTTACTGGGAAAGTCACTTTTTTTCTTATCAGCTTGCATTAACTCCTTCTATATTAAGAAAAATAGTCACTTATCTGTCATGTTCGTGAAAAGAGTTTTTCACCGTTTAGTTATTACTTTAATTTTGTTTGGGGTTATTTTTATGTATAGGAGTTGTAGTCTCTTTCTTTTTAAATACAGTCAAATCTATTAATCTTTTAATGATTCTTTTCCGTTGCTTTTATACTTATAAAAAGCTTCCCCAGCTTGACATGAGTCAAACATTTACCCGTTTTCTTCTCTATTATTATTTTATTTTCATATTTTATGTCTTTTTCATCTGTTTCCAACTTATTTTGGTATATGACATACATAAAATTTAAGCTGATTCCTCTTCCCAGTCTTTTCTCCTTATTTTGCTCATCCCATGGATTTGTTCTGCTTCTTCCTTCATCACATATTGAAGTCCTTTATAGACCAGCCTCTGTTCCCAGGCTCTGTCTTCTGTTCCATTGGCCTGTCCATCTATTGTTATATCAGTATCCCACTGTGGTAATGAGTTTACCCTTTTAAAATGATATACTCTTAATATTTACAGACCCAACACTGATGAAACATTCTTCTTTCAAACCTTTTTACTGTTCTTGCAGTATTTTTCCTGATAACTACTTAAGAACCATTTTTCCAAATATAGTTGACCCTTGAACGAGGGGCTTGGGGCACCCACCCTGGTGTAGTCAAATTCGAAGTGTAACTTTATAGTCAGCCCTCAGTATCCAGGTTCTGCATCAGTGGATTCAACCAAATGCGGATCGTGTACAAATTTATTGAAAAAAATCTGAGCATAAGTGTTCCTGCACAGTTCAAACCTTTGCTATACACGGGTCAACTGTGTATATATATATATTTTATATATATATATATATTATATATATATATATATATATAAAATTTTAATCCTCTGGGAATTTGATTAGAGGTATGAGTATAAGGCTTTTTGAGGCTTACTCACCTGCTGACCTTCTTTAACAGTGAGCTGTTCTTCCATATGGTCAAACAAAATAGCGTCTCTACCCTCTCCTGGGACATCACCCCCTGCTCTGAGTCCAGATTTGGCAGACTGCTCACTCTTGTACCTTTGAGACCAGACTAGTCCTTTCCTGTCTTGGTATCACTGTCTCGCCCCTGCACACCTGGACTCCTGCGTCGGCTGCCCACAGGGTTCCCGTCCTCCAAGGGGACCCTCCCGGGCTGTCCTGCACGCGGCTGCTTCCTTAGCCTCTCTCCCCACAAATCCTCTTTCAAGAACCTACAATGGCGTCTCTTTCCCTTATCAAGGCAGGCCGGCTTTATACACTCTCCACAGTCTGGTTCAAGGTAAGATATAATGGGACCATGTCAGCAGGTGAGATGACGGGAAAGAAAAAAAATAGAATGTTGCCATATGGAGATAGAGTGAGCAAGTATCACAAATAAAATCCTACCGCATGGGAGTACAGGGGCAATCCCTGTACCTTCCTCTCAATTTTGCTGTGAACCTGAAACTGCTCTAAAAAATAAAGTCTATTAAAACAAAAATCCTACTGCAACAACCTCTAAAGCAGCATTTTCAAACTTTTTTTTTTTTGTCTGCTACCCACGATAAGAAATACTTTTATATCGAAATATATTCTGATATTTTCTATTCGGTATTATCATTTCATTTTTTAAAATGCTGGTTGCAACCCTATAAAATATTTTCACAACCTGCTAACTGGTCACAAAATGCAGTTTAAAAAATACTGCTCCAAAGGAATCCTTGTGAAGTAGTATTATGATAAATATATTGCTTAAAATTAAAACCGTATGTCTCATGTGATGCTTGCTGTCTCTGTGGTATTGATACATTAGCGAAGGAAACAATTAATGAGATCTTACTGGGGAGAAAGAATGGCCTGTCATACAGTTCCCATCCTTGGTCCTTTTATTCCTCCATGGTTCTGGGATCTTTTGTAGATTTGAGGGAGAGAGAGAGTGTGTGTGTGTGTGTGTGCAGGAATGTTTGTCAGTTGATTTTACATAACTGCAATGTTTTTAAAAGAACGTAGAATGCAAAGGGTAATTGCTGTTTTACAGCAGAACAAGTTCATATTTCTTCGTACCAGTCTTAAAATAATGTGATTTATATGAAGTATTTGATGTTGCTTCTGTTTAATGAGACTTAGATGCATGGAGATTAGCTAGACCATATTTTTCTGTTTGTCTTGTTTATTTTGTTGAGGGTGGGTCAGTTACCATTCACCATAACCAGAGTAAGAAAAGTCTAGTTACTTTGAACCTTCTTGTTAGGAAGGATACTAGTGGCCTGTTAGATAATCTTTTTTTAATAATAGAATTCAACCCATATCTGTTTTGGTCTCAAATGTACTAACCCTAATTCTCTCTAAGAAAGAAAGCTGTCAAAACAGGCAAGAGTGAGGCAACAGATCGGATGCGGGGTCTTTCTTCCATGGTTAAATATGTGTCAACAGCCCAATAGTCAGAGACGAGACCCACCTTGGTACTCAAACTGGACTGACCAGATCACGGCCGGTGAGAACCAATGTAATAGAAACCAAGTACTGATGTTGCCCCACCACCTCCAATACAATGCCTGGAGGTCAGAAATGGCTCTGGACCAGTAGAGGATCACTCACCTATGCAGGTGGGTCTTGGGATCTTCTCGCTGATGTGTAGGTGTGGTCCTGTCAGCTCTGCCCCAAACCCAGCTGGATCAGTCAGGTCATGCTTGGGATTGGAAATGCCTGGTACAGAGAGAGATAATCTGTGGGCCTGGATGAATGGGGAGCACTGGGGACCAAGCCGTGTTGCTCAAAGGAGGGCCCTGAGTGCAAAGGGAACTAGGGAAGCTCTGGAGACCACTGAGGATGTGCGGAGCGTCTAAGACACCAGTACTCACGAGAAACCCAGGATATATGGTGAAGGCCACAAAAAGAAGATTCTGAGAGGGAGGAGTCAGACCACTGGCAGGCTGGTGTGAGGGTCGTGACTGGGACCCCCACGCATGGTTGGCTGGGACTGTGGTTAGTAGAAAAGACCATGCATGGTCGGCCACCGCTGAGCCCCGTCGTAACTCAGCACCTACGAGCTACGTAACAGTGAGCAAATGACTTGATCTGATGCTCACTTTCATCAGCTTAAAATGGGAATTCCATCACCCGTTTCACAGATGAGAGGAGTTACTGTACATGAGGAGCCACAACAGTGCCAGGCGCACAGAACACGTTCAATACAGGGAGCTGTCATTATAATTCAACCACCTCCAGCTCCCCAGTTCCCAGCCACATCTCTAAGGATTTTCTTCACCCAAGCAGTGTGGCTGTCTCTAAAGCACATGGAAGATGTCTCCTTCCATCAGGCTGACCCATGCCCGTACCTCCTGAGACCATCTTCCCGTAAGTCTCCAGCATGAGATCCCAGTATTGCTCCTTCTGAGTGGAATCCAGGTGCCTCCACTGCTCCTAGAGAAAAACACAATGCTGTGAGTCCAGGGAAGGCTTCTGAACCCTCCTTCCCTGCCTGTGGGAGGCTGAGAAGAAAGGAATGGGCCTCAGGATCCTGGCCATCAGATGGTCTGAGAAAGCATGGGAGGAGCTTCAATGGGAAATCGACAGGGCCTGCCTCAGTGTTTCTTGCTGTGGTTAGAAAACATTTAGGTTTTAAGTTCCGTATTTTCTTTTAAGTTGCCTGTTTTTGCGAGTGGAGAAGAAAGAGAAGGCAGGAGCCCTTTCTCCACTTTCCTTTTGCTTAACTCTCTCAGTGCTTATCAGAGAGGTCTTTGAGCAGCAGGGGCCCGATATTCCCCATATTTCATTAAAGTCTGGAAATTCAAGAGGGAAAGGAATTTTAAAATGTATTTGTTGGAAAAGCAAGTGCAAATCAGTAAAGGGGTGGGAAGGGTAAAGAATGGCATCAGGCGAGTTGTGAGTCTCACTGTGAGACAGACTGTGGCCTCGGAGCAGAAATGCTGCAGCCACACACACTTCGAATCTCCTGACGGTTCTGAGTTTAGGTCCAACAGCAGATCAGTTTTCCTCCAGTGAGTGGGAAATGGAGGGGCTCCCTAGAGCAAGCTGTCCCTTGAGTACGCCTAAAACATGCCCTTCTCATCCTGTGGAACTGAGCCTGGAGACTCAACGCTGGGAAGGCCATGGAGCTGGGGTCAACTTTTGTGAATCAAATGGCAGTCTCCCCACCAGGAGGCTGACTGTTAGACACTCAGTTTGTACAGCAGAGTGACGAACAGCACAGTCTCTGGCGTCAGACGCACTGGGATTCACGTCCCAGGTCTGCCATTTCCAGCTGCGTGGTCTTGAGGAAGTTACTAAACTTTCCTGGGCCTCAGTCCTCACCTAATGATAGTACTAGACTCAAAACACTGTCTGGAGGTTTAACAGAAGTAACCAAGTGTGAGCTACTTTCAAAGCACCCACTACTTTTCATTCATAGCATTCATCACAGTTTATTAAATATTTATATATATGTACACACACACACACACACACACACACACACACACTCACGAACGTATTTAATGAACAGTTGCCTCTGTAGCACATTCGCACCATGAGAAAAGGATCCTCCACTGTTCTCTCTCAGTTCCCAAGACCATGCCCAGGCTGGAGCAGGCACTCAATAGAAGTTGTCTGGGTGAAACAAAGCCCTTAGCAAACAAGTGCTTGGTAGGCGGTCTATATTCTCACCACCACTACCACACGCAGCCTACGGGTTATCGGTCTCCCAAGGTTCACAGGGAGAATTCAGGGATCCTGCACACTCTCGGAAACCCCAAAGTTGATAACCATCTATTATTGTCATGAACGGCCAGCCAGGCCACAGGCGGCAGAAGTGAGGAGAAGAAGAATGAGAAGAGAAGTCACCCTCCATCACACCCAACCCACTACCCGGGGAGGCCATTCCCCATTCTACATTAACTCTGCCCCCAGTACATTAAGGGGACTGGAAATGGCTGAAAGAGAGTGGAGACGCCAAAAATTCTTTAACTAGCAGATACTAAGCTTTAAAAGAAGAAAAGAAAAGGAGGAGTTAAATTTCTTAGGGTGAAAAAAGTGAAAAGGTGAAAAGTGGAAAAGTGAACTCTATACGTTTATTAACTATAACCACATTTTAAATATGGATTTTAATTTTTAAAAATTTAAAGTAGGAATTTTTAGCAACTTACTTTGTTAATCTTCTGTGAAGGAAGCTACCTTAACAGCCTACTGGAAATAACCAGCTTGAGCAAACACTGCTGAATACAGGAGTCCTCGGTCTTCCTGGTCAAAACACACAGACCCTCACGTCGGCGCTGGCAGAGAAAAGGACGGGCTGCCAAGCGCGGTAACATCTGCCTGGAGGCCTGGCTCGCCGGACACAGGCCTCGTCCACGGGCACCAAGAGAGTAGCCACCCAGCACAGTACAAGGCAGAAAGGAATACAGCCACCAAATCCCCCAAGGGCCACCATCAGCCCTTTCAAAGCCCAGGAAAGAGGCTTCAGGAGTCTCTGGAAGGTGTGCCTCCAGATTAAAGCCACACATTTACTCAAGTAACTGCCCAGGAGCTAGGGATGCATATGAAGCCCCTTACTTAAGAGGCAAGACACCAACTGCAGCCATCTTCATTTTCTGTCATTTTTATAAGAGGAGAAAAATGTCCAAATTCCTATTCTGGAAGGATGGAAGTATGAGATTTGATGGGGAAATCATCTGAGTTTCATGTGGAAACAGCACCATCTTGTGGGTTTGTGGGACACTGCCACAACTGACTGGCACACAGGCATCTGTGCTGTGTTCCCTTCCCAAGGTTTGAAGACACAGGAACCGGCGCCAGTGCAACCCCAAGTCTGTGAGACTGTCTCTGACTCAGTCACGGCATCTACCACTGTGGACCTCATACCCTGCCATTGTTCTCGAGGTTCCTAATCTAGGGAACAGATTAGAGGACATGATTCTTTATACTGTATTTAAACACTCCCTTCAGTTAGTCACAAAAGACTCCATTAAACATCGAGGTCCTTCTGACGCAAATAGTTGTTGGTTTGGAGGAGGGATACTGGGATCGGGTAGGGATGATTTTGGTTTTTTGGGTGAGTGGCTATTAATCAGTTACCGGCTATATATAGGAAATTTATATATTACATATATTTATATACATACATTTATATGGTGCTGCTGGTGAGCATTTGGAATACTTTGACTTCAAGCTACCCAGAACAAGTCATGGTTAATGTCCTCATGTAATGTAGAGCTAATGTTTAAGTCCGCTAGTTAAAATATGTTAATAAATTGTATATGCCTTTCATAGGGATACTCTGTATTTACTATAGAAGCAATAATAATCCTCCAAGTCGACGTGAAATATTTGGCAGAATACCCAAACCTTTTTCACCAAGGAGCCTCCTGCCTAACAGTTTGGTTTCTGCGTACTTAAAAGCAGGAAGATGGGCACCCTTGAGTCACTGAAAAGCTGTATCCCTTCCCTGCCCCCTCCCCACCCTCTGCCCGGGGTAAACTGCAAAGCTCGGACTCTGGTTTCTAAATCTTTTGAGCCTGGAAAGCTGAGGCTCAGACACATCTACAGCGGCTTCCCTGTGTCCTCACCTCCACTCTCAAGTACCCCACGAGGAAAGTCCCAAGAAGAGCTCCCCAAAGGTTTGAAACAATGCTCTGATTAAGGTCTACAGGTGCCTGAAAAAGTTGATTTTTTTTAACATCTTTATTGGAGTATAATTGCTTTACAGTGGTGTGTTAGTTTCTGCTGTATAACAAAGTGAATCAGCTATACGTATACATATATCCCCATATCCCCTCCCTGTTGCGTCTCCCTCCCACCCTCCCTATCCCACCCCTCTAGGTGGTCACACAGCACCGAGCTGATCTCCCTGTGCTATTTCGCACTAGCTAACTATTTTTGTGTGGTTTTTTTTTACATCTTTATTGGAGTATAATTGCTTTACAATGGTGTGTTAGTTTCTGCTTTATAACCAAGTGAATCAGTTATACATATACATATGTTCCCATATCTCTTCCCTCTTGTGTCTCCCTCCCTCCCACCCTCCCCCCCTCCCTATCCCGCCCCTCTAGGTGGTCACAAAGCACCGAGCTGATCTCCCTGTGCTATGCAGCTGCTTCCCACTAGCTATCTATTTTACGTTTGGTAGTGTATATATGTCCATGCCACTCTCTCGCTTTGTCACAGCTTACCCTTCCCCCTTTCCGTGTCCTCAAGTCCATTCTCTACGTCTGCGTCTTTATTCCTGTCCTGCCCCTAGGTTCTTCAGAAAACGTTGATTTTTATCAAATGCAACTTTTCAGAGTTGTTCACCACATAATCAAGATAAACCTGTTCTTGAGACTTCTGTTTACAGCCAAGATGGAGTAACAGGGAATGGATTTACCTCCCTGCTGAAACAACCAAAAACGGGAACAAGATATATGAAACAATGATTTGCAGACGATATACTTGAGGAAGAGCAGAACAGAGATCCCTGTGTGCCCTACAGTTGCCCAAACTTACCAGCTGGAGAGGGCATCCAGAGCAGCAGAAGGAGCTCAGGGTCTGGGGAGGCCAAGAGGGTTACAGAGTTATCAGCAGGGGAGCTGCACACAGAGAGAGCTCTGGAGATCTGCAGAGGGTCCCCCGCAAGTCAAGGAAAGACCCACCCCCCCGAAAGAAGCAGAAGGCACAGTCCCCAGAGTACTGGAAACACTTCATATTTCCAGCAGCCAGAGTGGAAAACGTTGTCCATCAAGAAGCATAAGGTATAGTATCACCTCAGTACAGGAGGAAGATTAGCCCTAGACTAAAGGCTTCACTGGTGCCATGTAACAAACTGTATCCACGTAACTTAACTGCATCCCAGAGCAGAGCTCAACAACATTTATAGGAATGCAAAAATATGCAGCCCCCAGCAATGTAAAATTCACCATGCCTGACATGCAATCAAAGATTACTGGGCATACAAGGAAGTAGGAAAAAACATCTCATAATGAGGAGATCAAACCGTCCATCAAAACTGACTCAGAACTGACACAGGTGATAAATTAGCAGACAAGGACATTAATACAGATATTATAAACATATTCCATATGTTCAAGGAGCTGGAGGAAAGATTGAACACATTAAGTACAGACATGAAAGATATGATAAAGCCCAAATTCAAACTTCTAGAGATGAAAAACATCTGAGATGCAAAATACACTGGATGGGATTAAAAGCAGATAAAACACTGCAGAAGAAAAGATTAATGAGCTTGAAGACATAAAACTAGAAACTACACAAAATTAAACACAGAGATTAAAAAGAGAGAGAGAACAGAGCACCAGTCAGCTGTGGGTCAACTTGAAGAGATCTAATGTATATATACACATGTTAAGATTATACATGTCCCACGTGCGTGCTATTCTCACAGTTCCCAAAGAAGCAGAGAAGGCAGGGAGACAGAAAAAGCAGTTGACATAATGGCCAGAATTTTTCCAAATCTGATGAAAGCTATAATCCAGCAGATCCAAGAACTTCAGTGTACCCCAAGAACAAGGAACATGAAGAAAATGACCCCAAGGCTCATCATGGTCAAAATTTTTCCAATCAGAGAGAAACTATTAAAGGCAAGCAAGAAAAATACATGATATGCAGAAGAACAAAGACATGTGGCATGAAGAACAAAGAAGTACATGTGGCATGGTTCCATTTTTTGTAAAATTCCAGAAAATGCAAACTACTGTATGGTGACAGAAAGGAGAACAGTAGTTGCCTCAGGACTGGGGGAGAGTAGAAGAGCAGCAGGGAGGGATATTACAGAAGGAAGCCTTTGGGGGTGACAGATATGTTTACTATCTTGACTGCAGTTACGGCTTCACATCTGTATATACCACGTCCAAGAACTGATCGAATTGTACACTTTAAATAAGTGCACTCTATAGTTTGTCAGTCACACCTCCACAAGTGAGTGGGGGAGAGGATAACCTGTCCCCACGTTAGATATAACATTCGAGATCACAAACCGACCCCAACGTGGAGGCCTAGACTAGGAAATGAAATAACAGTCTTTTCTCAGCATAACCCAAAGGTAATAAAAAAGGGAGACAAGATTGCTTCATCACAGCAACTTCTTCGAGGGCCCAGATTCTATTATTAAAGATGACAATTAGGAAACATTCTGCCTTTAAAGAAATATTGAAACTTGAGTTTCATTCCACATGTATGGCTGTCATCCTTGCTAGGCCTTCCTCTCTCCTCTGATTCTGAGAACGCTTCCCTTTTCAATCCACGGACTGTTGACAGACCCTCGGAGCGAGGTTCTGGGGTACGAGAAGCAGGGGAACCCCGCTCACCTGAGGTGCTGTGTGGAGAAGGGAGGCTCCAAAGTCTTGGTCTCTGATGAGCCTTTCCTCGGGTCGGGCAGGAAGTGGGGAGGCAGCCAGGGCTGAAGGCGGAGACAGGAAGATTAAAGAATTCCGATGTCCTGTCACCCACTAGCCAGAGGGCACAGGTGCAAACTTCCACACGTTAGAACCAACGCCTGTTCCGCCATCTGTATCTCAGACTTGTGCTTACCTCCCTAACCCACTCCAACTCGCCCTACCTTCCCAGCTGCCTCACCCGTGTCTCCTCCCACCTCCCTCCCCAGAACCCAAATCCGAAAGGCCTGGCCCTGTCATAAGTGGTTTAAATTGCAGACTTTGAATCTCCAAATCAGAGTGATTCCTATATGTCTACCCTGCTTCTGAACTTCCCAGAGACACCCCAATCTGAGCAGCACATCATTTCAATTCACTCTTAGGCCTACTGACCACAATCCCACAATTTCTCCAAGACGGCACCACACACACCACCTGCCCCTCACCTAGTCCTTGTTCCGAGTCGGACTCCTCTTTCACGATGTGGCTCAGTGGCTCCCCAGACCGGCAGGCTGAGTTCTGAAGCCCCAGCTCCTGAGGCACTTCAACATGGGCCTCCGCTTCCCCCAGTGGGCAGCTTTCAGGCTCCGCCTTCTGTGATAAGACTTCCTGTCCCAGAACTTGGATGCTGATCTAGAGACCACATGGTACTAATTACTGAAAGATCCAGAGTAAGGATTTCTGAAAGATACAAAGCTAACCTTCTAGAACGCATCATAAGGCAGTGCTTAGGGACATGGGGCAGGGAAAGAAAAAAGCCAGCATTTACTTCTGGCTCAGTGGGAACCAGGGAGGGAAACATCCTGAGAGAGGCCAGAAGCCATGGCCTGGGAGCCCTTCCGACAGGCCACTGATGTTGTGTTTCTACTGGACAGTCTCTACCAATTAAAAGGCAGGCATCTTTGGAACAGCTTCTCAAACATTCTAAAGATGGAATGGGATGGGAGATTTAGCTTCAATCCCTAATGGATAAAAAGTGTGGAGAATCTCAGGGAGTCTTAGAATCAGGTGAGGCGTGGGGACACACTGAGATAGTATAACAAGAAATGTGCAACTGGGCTTTGTCCCAGGTTCCTGGCAAGTGCTCCTAAAACCCCTGGAATCTCCTGAAGGACAGGAGTGCCGGGAGCAACTCCTCCTATTCAGAAGGAGCCTCTTTCAACCATCCCTGAGTTGATGCTGACGAGGTGACTCTTGGTGGCCCCTAGACGGCTTCAGGATGGTGGCCGGTCCCCAGAGGAACTAATCAGGTGATCAGAGGGTTGGAACTTCCAGCGCCACCCCTCAACCTCCGGGGAAGGGAGAGGGCCTGGAGATTTTCAATCACCAATGGCCAATGATGAAGCAATCATGCCTAAGTAATGAAACCTCCATAATAACTCCTAACCTGTGGGGTTCAGGGAGCTTCTGAGCTGGTGAATACATACAAGTGCCAGGAGGATGGCGTGCCCAGATGAGGGCACGGATGCCCTGTGCCACCCCCATCTCCTCCATTGGGCTGTTTCTCAATCATATCCTTTATAACAAACCGGAAAATACGAGTAAAGTGTTTCCTTGAGATCGATGAGTCACTCTAGCGAACGATCAAACCCGAGGAGGGGGTTGTGGGAACCTTCAAATTTGTAGCCAGTGGGTCATAAGTACGGGTGGCCCCTGCAGCTTGTGATGGGGTATGAAATGGGGTCAGTCTTATGGGACTAGCCCTTATCCTCTGGGGTCTGGGCCAAGCCAGACAGTGTCAGCGAATTGGTTGCTGGTGTGGAAAAGCCTACATATTTGGTGCCAGAAAAACAGACAACACCCCTAAGACCCCAGAGGAGCCCTGTGCTTCAGTCAGAGATCACAAAACTCTGCTCACCCACTGCCACAGCTTCTGGGGGTCCCCCCTCAAGCTCTCCACAAGGGTCACTGCTTCCTCCCCGCTGCCTGGACACTGCTTCCGCACCCACATCTGGATCTCCCCGGGCAGGATGGTCAGGAACTGCTCCAACGTCAGGATCTCTAGGATCTGCTCCTTGGTGTGAACCTCTGGCTGCAGCCACTGGGAACAGAGCTTCCGAAGTTGTCTCAGGGTTTCGTGGGGCCCGGACATCACCTGGTAAGGAAACTGCCTGAAAAGCTGGCGTGCAGTCTCAGAGCTGGAGGGCTCCCCTCGAGGGCTGTCATCTGGTCCAGAGAATGCGGACTCCTTGGGCTTGGCCAGTGGCGGTGGCAGGACTGGAGCCTGCCCCAGCTCCACGGGCATCGTCTGGCTTGGCAAGTCCTTTTAGGTGATGTGCTTCTGGGATGGAGTTGTCCCTGGGAGAACCAGGTCTTCACAGAGCCTCTCACAGGGACACTGGAGGGGGAGTGACAGTGATGCTATGCGGATGAGAGGGACGCACTTTCAGAAAGGACAAATTCACACGTCCTGCCTGAGAAGCCGCGGAGGCAACCGTGCATCTTCTGAAATCAATGGACACACTAATCTATTTTGAAAGATGGTAAACTTGAAGCCACAGAGCAAACCATTACTACCATATGTAAACTGTCATCATCACCCTGACCACTTTTACAACGTTCTCTCTTGGTCTTCAAAAGGCCAGACCAAGTAGAAAAATGAAACGCACCACATTAAGCGTTCTCACTGTGGGTGTCCAGGTAAATAGCTCTTCTGCAAAACACTCCAATGTCTGCATCCATGTGTCTGCAGACCAAAAAGGCTGAACAAAGACCTTGAAGCCCTAGGAATGAAGGCTAAGACTGAAATGATCAGATGCTTCCAAAATAAATATGAGGTTGAAGAGCACTCTTCCCCAAAAGGTGCAATGAAATTTCTAAGTGACCTCTTTTGAATGCCATGTTGAAAACTGGGAATTTATGAAAAACCTATCACATTGAAATTTTCAACCCTGGACTGAAAGAAGGTTTAGAATAAATACTGACTACCTCAACAACATTCCTATAGACTTGAAGCAAGTAATCACTCTTTTATGGCGAGTGGTATCAAAATTCAGAAGACAGCAACTAAGACAGTGAAAAGAGAACTATTAAATGGCAAAGTTAATGTTAAGATATTTTTAAACGAGTATGCACTATTTCTAGCTAGCTTTCTTGCATGTAATCCTAATATTAGATTATTGGGTCTATCTTTAAATATTATGAAGGAGCTAGAGGTCATCATTTCTCCATAACATGAACCACAACAATCAATCACTTGGGTGTCTGGCTTAATCCGAGATCAGTACAACACTCTAGCTTTTGATGGCTGCTTTTTCCTTGAGGTGTAAGAGCAACATCTTCACCCCCACCACTTCACCCAAACAATCCACCCTATATCACAACATCATTTAAAAATAAAACAAACAAAAAGAGAAAGCAATTTTTTTCAAGGGTACAAAAAAGGAAGGAGTAAGGTAAAAAGGATCGATCTAATATTATGTTTCTCATGTGGACCTCACTAACTGTACTTTTTGTTTACGCAGAGACCCATATATTTCATTCATATATTCACGCAGCACCCAGAGTGCTACAGCAACATATGTTCTCAATAATTCAGGAATTCTATTTCTGGTCATGGCAGCCCACCTACTGTAAACAATGACAAAACTGGAGAAAACCTAAGAGGCCACTGTTTTCAAGCACTGGCCAACCGGAAAGGCGAGAATGGAATCCCTGAGAGAAGAAAAGCTTGTGAGGAGGGCCACGATCATCCCGGCTATCTGCCAGGGGAGGATTTCCTAATCCCAGTGCAGGAGGCTGGAGCTTAAGCAGAGACCAGAGGTCTCACTAAACTGAGGAGGCAGAGATCAGCATTTGGAGCTACCGAAGTGGCTGGGATCGGAAGGACACGGCAGCAGGAAGGAGGGAGCTATGGGGTGGAGGCGGAAGTCTGTGCGGGGGGGCCCCCTGTGAGTTCTGGCCAAGGGTTGGGCTGCACTCAGTAGGGTGAAACTATGCAAGGTTCAACAGAGAGCAGTTGCTACCAGGTTAAAGGAGCAAAAGAGGGATACAAAAGGCCAGTCAGTGATGAGAGACATTTGCGTTTCTGACCCTGAGAGGAGAGAGACCTTATTAACACTCAAGGCATCCTGAGATACCAGAAAGGCCACATGTTAGGAGTAAGGACCATGCTCTAGAGAAAGACCTACTCTAAACCTGCCCTAAAAAACTTAAAGCCAAGCTTCAACAAGATCCACAGAGGAGGTCCAGTCTACTGCTCTATTCTGATCCAGTTAGAAGAATTTGGGGGAATTCCCTGGCAGTCCAGTGGTTAGGACTCCACGCTTTCACTGCCAAGGGCCCAGGTTCAACCCCTGATCGGGGAGCTAAGATCCCGCAAGCCACACAGCATGGCCAAAAAAAAAGGAATTTGGGAAACACCTTGGGCTTTCCAAAGATCTGCCCTAAAACCAAGCCAACACAAGTTGATCAGTCAGTAATTGAACTGCCTGCTAGAATAAAAATCAACACTCTTCAGAGGGAGATAACAGAATCCTTAGTGTCTACAATGTGCCATCCACAATATCCAGGATGCAATCCAAAATTACTACACATGTAAAGAAACAGGAAAATGTGACTCAAAATCAAGGGAAAGCAGTAAAGAGAAACCAACTTCAGATGGCCTGAGGACTTAAAAACAATGTAGTCTTTATGACAGAAGAGACAGTGACTTTCTATAGAGAAATAGAAATTATAAAAAGAAACAAATGCAAATTCTAGAAAATGAACCATCAACCCAGAATTCCACATCCAACAAAAACACCTTTCAAAGAAAGAATTAAAGACATTTTTCAGATAAATAAGCTAAGAGAATTTTTCACCAATGACTTGTACTACAAGAAATGCTAAAGGACATTCTTCCAGTTTAAGGGAAACTCATATATACAGAAAGGAATGAAGATCTCCAGAAATGGTAAATACATGGTGAATAAGTTTAAGATACTATGCTTTTATTTCTCCTAACTTCCTTAAAAGGCAACTGACTGTTAAGGCAAAGATGACAATAGTATAAGTAGAACATAAGACAACTAGAAGTAAAAGATATAAAAATAGCACAAAGGAGAGGGTAAGTGGAATTAATCTGTTGTTTTTACATTTATGAACTGCTAATCAGAAATAGAAAGTTAGAAGTAAGAAGTAGTGTCAGGTGAAGTGACAGATGGGAAATGTAAAGGTGTTAAGTGAGGGGCAGGAAATAAGAAATGTGAATTATAAAGTGGTACAATATTAAAGTACATTCCAATAAGTTAAATGTTGATAATTTAAGGATGCATACTGTTAGCTGTAAAAATATTATACAAAGAGGTATAGCTAAAAGCCAATAGACGAACACTAAAAAACAGTCAATAATATACAGGAAAGGATCAAGAGAAGAGTAAAAATCAGAAAGATCAAATGGAAAAAAGACAATATGATAGATTAATACCCAACCATATCAATAATTACATTAAATGTAAATGGACTAAACACTTGAATTATAAGGTTGAGATTGTCAAATTTAAAAAAGCAAGACCCAACGGTATGCTGTCTACAAGAGACATTTTATGTATAACGACACAGATAGTTTGGAAATAAAATGGTGGGAAAAAGACATTCCATGCAAACAGCAAGCACATGAAAGCTGGTATGGCTATATTAGTATGTGACCAAGAGACTTCATGACAAAGAGAAAAAGAGGGACATTTCATTATGATAAATGGGTCAAATCATCTAGAACACAAAGCAACCTAAATGTGTATGCACCTAATATCAGGTCTAAAGGGACAAATCCTCAATCATAGTTGGAGACTTTAACACTGTTCTCTCAGTAATTGATAGAAAAAATAGACCAAAAAAACCTGTAAGGATATAGAAAATCTGAACAACACTATCACCCAAGTTGATGTAATTGACATTTAAACCAACGACTGCAGGGGCTTCCCTGGTGGCGCAGTGGTTGGAAGTCCACCTGCTGATGCAGGGGACACGGGTTCGTGCCCCAGTCCAGGAGGATCCCACATGCCGCAGAGCGGCTGGGCCTGTGGGCCGTGGCCACTGGGCCTGCGTGTCCGGAGCCTGTGCTCTGCGACGGGAGAGGCCACAGCAGTGAGAGGCCCGCGAACAGCAAAAAAAATAATAATAATAAATATATATATATATATATATATATATATATAAACCAACAACTGCAGAATACACATTCATTTCAAGTGCATACGAAGCATCCGTCAAAACAGACCATGTGTATAATTAAGTTTCAAAACACTGGAATCTTAAAGTATAGATTCTCTGACCACAGAGAAATCAATAACTAGAAACCAATAACAATAAGATACCTAGACTATCCCAATATATGGAAATTGTTAAATAACAATAGTAAATAACCTATGACCAAAGAAAACAAACCACACAGGAAATTAAAATATATTTTCATATTGAATGACAATGAAAACACAACATATCAAAATTTGTAGGAAACAGCTAAGGCACTGCTTAGAGAGAAATGAGAAGCTTTAAATAACTGTTAAAATTTTTAATAAATATACACGCATCCTTCACTGTCTAGATCTATTTGGATCCTGAGTTTCAAATAACAAGTAGCAAGATGTCAGATAGCAAGAGACTTATCAGTAGATTTATTCACATTTACTTAGTTCCCGAATTAAGATAGCAGTTTAGATAACAGGGAAACTGACTTTCAGGGAAAACTATAGATTACAAAACATTTAAATCTAATTTCAGCAATTATACTCTCACATAATGGTAGGGGAAATGCCTCGCTTATATTTAAATTACTTGATAGATGCTTTATAGATTGGTATCCCAATGACTTCATGAGAATCTGCTCCTGTTATGAAAAAAATTTAAAGATATCCCAAATGTATAGTTGCTATAGTTATTAAAGCTATAACAAATTAGAATGAATTTTTAAATGAACATCTAGGTAAGGATACTTACTATACATTCATATACAAGTAACCATTTGCAGAGCACCTACTATTGACAAAGACTGTCTCCTTAATCAAACTTCAGTCAAGCTGAAGTTGACTGAGTCATCTCTTTGACTAGGACTGGCCCTTGGACTCTGTCCTTGTCACTTCCAGTCCAGTTTAGCAAGAATCTTGCTGACTCCAGTTTAGGGAGTCAGCAAGACTTGACATTTGATCAAATTCAACATCCCTTGGTATCTGGTCAAATTCCTTATTGCCCTGGCCTGCCTTCAACAAAACCGGTCAAGTTGGCTTAGCTAGAATCCCCCCTTAACCCAGATGTTTCCTGTTAGTAATTTTCCACCCACTGAGCCCACCCCACCCCTTGGCTATAAATTTCCACTTGCCCTTGTTGTATTCAATCTCTCGCTCCAATACCACAAAGTCCCACGGTAGCCCCCCTGAATAGTCTGCCTTACCGTTTTTAACGAGTCTCTGAGTAACTTTTTCTTTAACACTATGCATCAGCTCCTTATTAGGCTCAGTTCAAGTCGTTTCTAATCCTCACAGTTACCCAGCAAGGTGAGTATTACAGTGTACAGATCGGCAACCTCTGAGGCTCACAGCGGCGGCCAAATTCAAGCCCAGGAGGCTCTAAGCCTGTGCTCTGGGGAGGAGAGCTGCAAACCTTTGAATTTGGGGGGCGGATTTGGGAGCTGTCACAAAGGGCTGGAGGGGAGGAGAAGCTACAGGCATTTAGCGCCCCGGAGGCCAGGGGGGATCCAGGCCTGCCAGGCGCTGGGCAGTGCTGCCCAATGCGTTCTCCACCCTCCGCCCACGACGCCGACAGCGCCGGGAAAGAGACTCCGGGCATCAGCCCATCCGGGTTCCCTCTTCCCGAGGCTCACTTCCAGCCTTTTGGGGAAGGCAGGAGGGAGGGGCCCCTTTTCGGTCCCAGTCCAGAGACGTGGCCGGAGAGTCCGGAGGGGCCCACAGGCTCAGGGACGCTGGGCCCGGTCCGGAGTACCGGGTCTCCACAACCCCTGAGTCCACTCACAGCCCCGTCGCCCCTCCCCCGCACTCGCCGCGTCACCGCGCGCGCTCCCGGGCACTCGGGCGCGCGTCCGCCGGCCCGACCGCCGCTCCCGGAGTTCCGGCCGAGTCCGGCGCGGACGCGGGAGGCGCCAGGCCAGACCCCGGGCTGCCGCGGCCAGGCCTGTCAAGCCCGCGTGCGCTCACCTCGAACCGCGGCGCCGGCTCTGGGCGCACTTCCGGCAGACGGGAGGCTGCGCGCGCCTCTGGGGCTGGCGGGGCGGGGCGGGGGCGGGGCGGAGGCTCGGGCTCCGATTGGTCGCCCGGGTCGCTCCGCGCCTCCGCGGCGCCGAGGCCACTGTGCGTCGCCTTCAGCGGGCGGTTGGGTCATTCATTCGAGTTACGCGCGGTCACTCAGTCCTCACCTGGATGTGTAGTGAGCCCCGGGTCTGGGCCGGGCACTTGGACCAAGCACTGCGAGGGCTGCAGAGGTCGTTTTCGTGACTTTCCCAGACCCCTCTGCCAGTCCCACACCCAGAGCTGAAGCTTTCGGGCCGTATCCCAGGTTCTTACCCGGAGTCTCCTTGGGGTTCTCACCTCACTTGGCCTCCCAGGGGCATATGATTTGCCCCGACCTTGCTCTGTCCCGCTTCTCCAGCTCTCACCTACTCTGTATTTCCCGGGCGCTCTCCTTCCACCTCCCCTCTTTTCAGTGTTGAAGTTCAGTGGGGCGCCAGCCTGTCTTCCCACCTTGTCTCTTGCCTGTCTGCCCCCCTCACCTCACCCCTTCAACGTGATGTCTTCCTCGCCTCCTCCCTCCCCTTCTTCCCTTTCCCACGTGACAACAATGGCCAAGTCCTTTGATTTTCCCGCCTGTCTATCTCTTCTACACCTCCGCTCTGTCCACTCTCTACCCCTACCTCCTTCCCCGTCATTTCTAACCGGGATAACGGGTGAAGCCCTCACCAGTTTCAGAACTTCTAGTCTTGCCCGTTTCCAGGCCATCCAGCACTCGACCACACAGTCATCTTGTGGGACAAAGCTGTGTTAGTAGTATCAAAGGTGCAAATCTGGGAGACTGGAGTTAAGTGTGTATCGTATGAATGTTCAATCATGGGCAATTGGCAAACCGTAGAGAATTTAAAAAAGGAATTGTCAGTATAGTGAAGTACCCTGCCCAGGGTTAGGAGGAATGGGAGACATCTCCTCTGAAGAAACAAAGCTTTGGGCGGAGCGGGGGATGGGTGGGTCATGATGTCTTCACATATCTGAACAACTGACCAGTGGGAAAGGCATTCACCATGTTTTTCTAGGTCCCAGGACCTGAGCAAGACCCACTCTGCGGCGAAAATAGTGAAAAATACTATTTCAGCTTAACCCAGCTGGAAGTTTCTGAAGGTGGCTTGTGTAACAAAGCTCTTTTTTGAGTGCCTGAGCAGAACATGGGTAACAATTTGTCAGAAACATTTAGAGAGACGCTTGCAGAGGGTGATACTTCCAACACCAAGGTAAGTTTTGCTTCTAAGAAATTCAAGAGGTGAGCTGGTTTGGAAAGGGAAGATCATGAGCTTTTATCTTCAGCATGTAAGTTTTTAGCTGATCAACATCCCAGGAAGATAACAGTAATTTGAAAGCTTTAATTGGGCCACGGAGCCCTCTGTGAATCTGATGGAAGCTATAAATCTTTTCACAAGGAAAGTGCGCATACGTATCTATACACAAAATTTTGCACGCAGATTCAGGGAGTTCACAGAGCCCTGAAGTGCATCCTTGGAACCCACGAACTTCAGGTTGAAAACTCTAATTCTGATAGACGGTTCTTGATATGGAAGTTACACTTGGCAGTTTAATAATTTCTTTATAAACTGTCACCTTTCTCCTTGTGGTATGTGATCATCATTCCTAACCGTAAAAGTTTTGGCCACTAACTAGTTCTGTTAGGCTCTTGAAGTATGAGTTGAGACAATTATGTATTATTAACTGTGCATTGTAGTGCTTCTCCTCAGACCAGTGCCAAAAGCATCATTTTGGAAGTTTGCTTAAAAACTGTATTTCCAGGCTGCACTTCTCAGAGAACCTAATTAGAGGAGAAGGCAAGAAATCTGGGCTTAACATGCCTTCTGTGTGAGCCTGCTGTGCAGCCACAGTTGAGAAGCCCTGATTTAGGGCAGTGGTCGCTACACCTTTTTTTTTTTTTTTTTTTTTTTCTGCGGTACACGGGCCTCTCACTGCTATGGCCTCTCCCGTTGCGGAGCACAGGCTCCGGACGCGCAGGCTCAGCGGCCATAGCTCACGGGCCCAGCCGCTCCGCAGCATGTGGGATCTTCCCGGACCGGGGCACGAACCTGTGTCCCCTGCATCGGCAGGTGGACTCTCAACCACTGCTCCACCAGGGAAGTCCCCGCTACACCTTTTTGATCAAGCACCCTTTACCAGTAAAACTATTTTGAGGCTAGAGAGCCACTATTTGTATATGTATTTATTAATAAATAATATACATGTATCATTTTGCCTATTCTATATAATAAAATATGTGAATATAAAAGTCAACAAAGACTGAGGTAAGAATGAAAAAATAATATTTCAAAATATGTATTTTATTTGTTGAATAAAATTCCCACTTAAAATGAGATGGAACAGGCCTCATTAGTTGAGCAAATCTTGATTTAATACTCTAATTATACAGAGATTTTTCAGGTCTTGTTCTACCTTTACTTTTTTTTTTTTCAACACTTAGTTTTAATGGTTGTCATAAATAAAGAAAGAAACTTCACAAACCCTCCAAATGGAAAAAGTATATCATTGGCAAAACATTTTCTTTTTTCAATACCATCTGTTAATTAAGCGATTTTTGAAGAAATGTGCCTACTAAGAAATTCCAAAAAGTACCTGGTAGGATATTGTATGACCTTAAGCATCACTGAAAGTTATCTTTGTGTTCTGGATAGGGTATCAACCACAGAGCCTAAAGTTTACTAAAAGCTGGGATCTCACCTCGTCAAGACTCTCTGTATAATTGAT